GCACGCCGGAGTGAGAGCAATAATCCTAGGGCCAGTATTTTGGGGTATTTCTAAATTGATGACCTGTGGGGGCTTTTAAAGTGTCTTTTATTGACTTTTTGGGGTACTGCAGTTTTTCGCCGTTTCACGGTCACACACAATCTGTAAACTGGGCATGTTGGGTATCGTTTTACTCGTTGTAACCTCATCTTTTATATTTCATTTAAAAAATGGGTAATTTGTTGTGTTTTGGGGCATTTAATTAAATTTGTCACTAAATTTTGGGGTTTAATAAGGAGTTGCGCTAATATTGCGCAACATAAAAATTTTCAACTACCACCATTTTATTCTATAGGGTCTTGGCATTCAGAAAATATATAATGTTGGGGGGTTTTACGTCATTTTCAGGCCTAAAATGTGGAATATAACATGGGTGCAAAAATTGAAAAAAAGGGCCTCAGTCATGAAGGGGTTAAACAAGTTGTTTTGCAGTCTTCAGCACTGCTTGATCCATGTTCAGCACTCCAAAATGAGTTGGCTGAAAGACATATTAACATGTGAAATACCACACACTAACACACCCCAATGCAGTGAACAGGTCTCAAACTGGCCTTAGGGGCTTAGTGGGGCTTAATGTAGACTTGGAGAGAAGTCAAGACTTCTTGCACAGCCTGGACCACCAATCTAAGGGAAACGCAGGGTTTGATTTGAAGACTAAAGCTGGGTATACATGGAGCAAATTTCGTCCAATTATGAAAGTGACACTAAACTCAGGGGTTCAACCTTAAAAATGCATTCAAGTATATTAACTATTAACAAAAAATGCTTCTTATTTGTGTATCACTAGGCTGTAGATCCTTAAATGGTGCCGACACTGTCCTTCCTTCTGGAGGGTGGCTACTTTTGTTCCCCATTGTCCCTGTGTGTGTTGTAAAGTAGCCACCGCTCCAAGCTCACTCACATGATGGGAGTACAATCTTTCATGTTTAGTTTATTAATTTGTATTAACCTCCCTGGTGGTATTCCCGAGTGTGGCCTGGGGTTAATTTTCATTACCAAAAGCGGTAACCCCGAGCCACACTAGAGATTACACAGTGCGTTACTTACCTTGTCCACGATCCACGCTGTGTCCTCAGGCCGATGCCGGCATCCGTCTTCCGGGTTCCGTCCCTTGCAAGCGTTCGCGTCGCAGGGGGGCAGAACTGGAGGGAAATTTAAAAGTAAAAAATAGAATAGAAACAAAAAATGAAATAATCAGACCGCCAGGGAGGTTAAAGTCCTGTAATAGTACTTTTACAGAATAGTTACCATTTGAGTGGTGGCTACTTTACAACACACACAGGGACCATGGGGAACAAAAGTAGCCACCCTCCAGAAGGAAGGACAGTGTCAGCATAAATTCAGAGATGATTTGAGCATCTACAGCTGAGTGATACACACATAAGATACATTGTTGTTAATAGTGAAGGTACTTGAATGTATTTTAAGATTTAACTCCTGAGTTTAGTGTCATTTTAATGAAAAGGCCTAAATTCATTCAGTTGGTGGTGGTCCTATCTTTCGGCACCCGCTCCACACAGGAGCCTGGCGGAAAATTGTCGACTGAACAGCGCCTACATCCATTTAGAAGCGGGCACTGTTGAGGGCTTTTAAAATCCAATGTCCACAGTGGGAGATTCCTCCATCCACGCTGTTTAGTGTGGATAGAGGAATCTGTTCTGATTTGTTCCAGCTTTACATGGGTACTTCTAAGCTTCTGCCCTCTCTACTGTTAAGGTAGGTCAGGTTCAACGTAGCATCTAGCTACGTTGAATCCATACATGCAATCTATAATGTAATCTGTATTCTGAGTCACCATCTTCGTTCTTTCTGATGTTCTACAACGTTTTACAAAAAGAGAAGTTTTCTCTCCTCCAGGGGAAAGTAGCTCATTAGATTTCTGGCTAAAGTAATGCGAATGACCTATTTTCCTAGAATGGGAAGCACGGTCTGGGTACAATTATAGGTATATTAAATCGAGCAAACTGTCAGAAGGCAGGCTTAGTTCCCCTAGTTGAAAATAAGTGAACAAAAATAGAATAAAGATTGTATAGTTCTGTTAAGCAGTAAAGATCCCAATTAGTCAGGGCATCTAGGAAAGTAAAAATTGCTAGTGTTACTAAATTGCCTCTTGCTCATAAATACAAGCAGGGGACATCTGAATCCTACTGTATATAACATTGCCCATCCCAGGAATAACAAAATAAAGCCTGCACTTTTCCAATGTGGCTTTAAGTGTATGTTATAATATGGCATTAGATAGGAACAGGGACGTGTGGTCAGGGTGAGTCAGAGCCTCTCCTAGTGTTATGGAGGAAAAGGCTGGCAGCTTCATGTCTAAAGCTGACAGCTTTTTCTCCATTCAGAGTGGCTTGTAACAGGTTACGTAGCAGGGAATGCCTCCCCACTGTGTGACCTGTCATGGACGGAGTGCTGCCTGTTAATTACAGGCGGCACTGCATCCGGCTTTTGACAGCTAAGTTACACAGCAGTGGGCTTCCCCACTGCTTGTGTAACCTAACCTAGTGAGGCAAGAGCTGCAACAGCCTCTACTTACTGTTAGAGGCTTGAGATCTGTGGATGGTTTGAACCAATGGCAAAACGCCATTGGTCCAAGCTTTCCAATAAAAAAAACAAACACTAAGGACATTGATCTCGATGCCTCACCAGTGACGAGCAAGTGAGGGACAGGGAGTCTCCTCCCTCCTCCACACATAGCTTTGTGACCGGATTGGGGGCAGGGCTTCATCGGGCTGGAGGCGGGGTGTCGGCGGACAGGGGGGAATGCCTCACCCAGCACGGAAGGTACCTCACGTCACTGGATGGGAACATGTATGAAGTCTTGCTCACATGTAGACCACACATAACTACTGTATAGTAGACAGTTGTCATTGTTCTGGATGCTTCTGGCAGTCTGCTATGGAGCCCAATATCTTCTCTATATTACAGAAATGTTTTTACACTGAAACCTTCTCTTTTGAATGAAACGAGGAGTTTAATATTCACTTTTGCAATAAAGTTCATAAATAACATTATGGAAGAAAAGTCATTCTATTTCTTGTAGAAACGTATTGGATGATCTTGTCATTTTCTAATCAGAAAAATGACAGTGGAGTAATTACAAAGTTCCTTTCGGCTTTTATAATAAACTAATTGATGTGCCTATACTATTTCTAAGGCTGGGCACACACCTTACAACCATCGCAAGACTTTTGTCTTGCGATGGCTGTAAGGTAATTAAAAAAAACGTACGGTCTGCCCATCTTGGACGGGCAGATCGTACTTGCGATGATCGTTAGCCCGCCCCACTGAGGGGCGGGCTTCCGATGACCGCAATGCCGAACGGGCAGTGTGAGCTTGCGCACACCGGCCCGTGCGGCTTTTATCTTACGAACATACTACACACCCGCCAACAATCGTACGATTCTCGGTGGGTTTTCGAACATGTTCCTAAGATAAAAGTCGTGCGACCGTACAGTAGTAGAGGTCGCACGGCTTCCACACACCTTACGATAATCGGACGATCGCAGAATTTCCTGCGATTATCGTATGATTATTGCAAGGTGTGTGGGCACCTTAAGACTTTCCACTTTCAACAACGGCAGAACTTAGACTCTTTCTTGCTTTGCTGCTATATGGTATTTTGTGTTTAGATTTCATCACAGTGGCTGACCTTTGCTCTGACTGACGGAGTACAGTGATACAATACTGCTCTGCGAGCCTTTCCCATGCCCACAAATCTTCATCGGATCCATTTTACTTCTTACAGCTGAGTCACTCCAATGCAGTATTGCAGGCAAAGGACTTCTCAAGCTCTTGAAGAACTCCGTACTTTTTCTGTCTAATCTGTCTATCTTAAACTGCCATGTAGTATTAGGTCAAAATAATTTTAGAAAGACTTCAACTCCTTCTGTGGGAACAAGCTTGTATAATGTTCTCATGTGTCAGCCCTAAACATGAATTTAGAATCTCGGCTCCTGTGCATGTCCTCCTATTCTTAGTATAGCTGAAACAATCCAAACTTGGGGGTGTCTTTTGCACCCATAAAGCAATGGGAGTGTTATGCTGTTTGTAAACTCTGTTGTCACTGCATGGATGATAATGTTGATGAGGCATCCCCTGGCCTGTATTATATGCTCCCCCATGTAAGTGAATTGGGGTACAAATTGTGCTTTAAGCTGCCCATACACCTTACAACCATTGCATAATGAAAGTCGTGTGATGGTTGTAAGGTGTATGGGCAGCTTAAAGCACAATAACACACTGCTCAACAACATTACACCCCCCCACCATAACACCCACGAACACCATACCCACAGTGAAGAGTGGTGGTGGCAGCATTATGATTTGGGTATTGTTGTTCTTCAGCTGGAACTGGGGCTTTAGTCAAGGTGGAGAGACCTATGAACAGTTCCAAATATCAGCCAATTTTGGCACAAAAAACTTCAGGCCTTTGCTAAAAAGAGGGAAGAGAAATTTCACCTTTCAGTATAACGACAACCTAAAGCATACCTCCAAGTAAAAAAGAATGGCTTCCCCAGAAGATCAAAGTTTTGGAATGGCCTAGCCAGAGCCCAGGCCTGAATCCAATGGAAAAATCTGTGGAGTGACCTCAATAGGGCTGTGCACAGGAGATGTCCTCACAATCTGACGGATTTGGAGCAATTTTGTAAGGAATAGTGAGCAAGGATTCCCAGTGTAAGATGTGCCATGCTGATACACTCCTCCTTCAAAAGACTAAATGCTGCCATAAAATCAAAAGGTGTTTTAACAAAGTATTAGTTGTTCATATTTATGCAACCGCACTATTGTGAGTTTATTTTTCCCACTTTAAAGATTCCAATTTGTTTTTAATTGAATTGCACAGACTATAGGTGGCAAAACATTCTGACGTCATTTATCTTTGTCTGATTTTCTAAGTTTCAAAACCTGACATTTTTATAGGGATGGGTAGATTTTTATATCCGCTATATCACTCCAATGTTGTTTGTTTTCTTTTTTTCACCTGACCTTTTCGTGTTTAATTAATAAATGTATATGTATGTATGTGTAAAAAATATATATATATATAATGTGTTCCTACTTCAATAAGAACTACTGTGCTGCGTTAATATAATATGTGAAGAACTTTTTTTTTTTTGGCTTTAGGGATTGTTGCAAGAAAGGAAAACCATTTCACTTATTTCGTCTGCTTCTTCAATACCATGAGCCAGAACTCTGTTCTTTCCTAGACACAAAGAAAATCACCCCTGACCTTTATGCGCTTAACTGGGTAACTTTTTTTTGTTTATGGTTTTTTTTGTTCTAGCAATATATTTTAGAAGAATTTTTGGTTCTAATGTGTATCATAATCGCAATGGTGCTAATTTATTCAAGGAGTTTACAGTCTTTTCTCAAAATATTGTGTTTACATGATTGCATGAATTTAAAGTGAATGTTCACACAATTTAATTCCTTCATCCATGCTGGTATTCGCGTTTGGAATCTGTCGGGAATCTCTCTGTGTGTACCCAGCTTAAATGTCGTTAGGGCAAGGGCAAAATTCTCAACTTCTTTAGTAAATCAAACTCAATGGGGGGAATGTATCAAATCTGGAGCAGACAAAAACTGGAGCTGATGTACATGGCAACCCAATCAGCTTCCCTCTTCAGTTTGCTCAGTTAAGATTTGAAAATGAAAGAGAGAAGCTGATTGGTTGCCATGCGCAGCTGTTTCAGATTTTCTCTGCTTCAGGTTTGATAAATTCCCCTCAATGTATTTCGGGGTCCTAAAATATGTCCGTATCTACACATGGAGGATGATTTGCTACAGGAGTAGAAGCTGTCGCATCATAAAGTGAACTATGTTTACTTTGAATACCCCATTATGTGAGTAGAAGAAATCCAAAACATAAAACCACAAATAACAGGATATTTATTGGCAAAGAACTGAACATTTATAGTGAAATCTTCGCCTTATTTACTAACTTTGACTTTGCTAAGTTAACAACCTCTGCTGATTTTAGTAAATCAACTCCATGGTGTCTAATTTATTCACACTTGGTGTTTGGCATTGTCACCCTGTTACATGCTCCCCTACAAGCAGCCTTGCTAACGCACCTTACGCAGGCATGGCCCACCATTGCCACTATCCGTAACCTAGACCACAGTAATGATGTGCAGCCAACCCTGAAGGCAGAGCATGTAGTCAGGAAGTGGCTGAAAAAGGCCAGTGAAGATCAGCAACACTGTGTTACAAAAAGATGAAAAATAAAGGCGGAAAATGGTGTTTTGCGAAAAAAAGTTGTTTAGAGTGCATAATGCTTAGTTAACTAAAGCTCCATACACATGGATTGAATTCCAGCCATTGGGGGGTGGCCCCATCTCAACAAAAGTGGATAATTACATTAACTTTGTCGAAGCGACATGTTCGAAAATTGTCGGCTGAACGGTGCTTCTAGCCAATCAGCTGCAAGCAAAGTTTCGTTCTCCAACAGCCGCAGGCTAGTTGACACTGTGTAGAATATTGACTGTAAACTCTTCCAGATCAAACCGACTCAGAATGTTTCCTCTCCCGGCTTTGTGTTTTTCAGTTTGGGAGCCTATTTGCGCATCCCTGCTCAGTGGACGTCACTCAAGCAATTTGGGATAGTTATTTACAGCAGGCGGATCCATTCTTGATGTACTTCTTGATGCTGATAATGCTCGTCAATGTAAAGTGGGTACACAGGCTGAAGATCTGATGTGTGGAAGATTTGTGTCTGCATTTCACTAATGGGCTTTTATGTCTTTGCAGAGATGTTGTTCTGGCAGAAGGAATGGAAAGTAAAGAAGAGCTCATCAGTAAGGGCCTGACCACAAAAGTATTTTTGCATAATAAATATTACCCAAAGCTTGTCTTTCTAATGGTGATAATATGACCGCACATTCGTTTGACAGTGTCTCAGCTGCATGTGACACCACAATGGAGAATTAAAGGGGACACAATGTTTTTAAAGCACACATGGGGATTTAATAGTAAACATGGTGTGAAAAGGGTATGGTGGGGCGGTGGATACTGGTGTGGGTTCCTTGGATGATGATTATAATGGATTTGGATTTTTTCTGTATTAAAGTGTATTTCCACTTTTGCAGTCAAATATAGGAAAACCCCTCTCTAGGTTTGTTATGTGTTCCTATTCACACAGCATACTGAAAAATAACTTTTAACAAAATGTCTTACATTTTAGATATTTTGTTTAAAAAGGCCTTTATATTTCGATATTACAACTCTGCAGCCAACAAATCACAGTATAGTGAGAAATTCTTAAATCTACATTCCTTCCAGGTTAGTTACCTTACAAAGAAAAGGATCAGCATGACAACCTGAAAAGTAACATTTTGAGAAGGAGAGATCGGTTATGGCAGTTTCCATATTTCTGTCAGCACAGATTTCACTTCTACAGACGAGCAAAGAATTTGCCCCTCGCACAGTGATCTGAAAAATCGCTCTGTGTAATAACAAGTTTGTCCAAAACACTTATCATTAGAATGCTAATTTTTTTAAATTCTATTTTTCAGCCCAGTTTTGATCTGGGTTAAGTGTAACGGGCATCTTTCTGGAGGGTAAAATACTTGTCACCTGGTGTTGGTCGTGGTTTCGCATTTACAGTTCTTTTCTGTAGCTTTTTTTCCTTCAGCATTTCTGTATGCTCTGACTATCTCAATTCCAGCTGTCATGTAAAAATCATATATTCCTCGGGCAGGACTTGATGGTTTGGAAAATGAGAAATAATGCAAACTTGTAGCCGGCTCCCATCGCAGTAAAGTGTTTATAAGAAGGTGACCCAGGTACCCTCACATAGCCTCATGTAGTTCTCTGGAAGCCCTAAAAGAACCCATGGAGCCCTAATATGCAAACCCCAACTTAAAGTCAGCGCTTGGACCAACTTTGGTTGCTGGGCATTTGAATCGCCTACTGGTTTTTTATATCTCTCGGGCTCCATTTGCAGGATAATATGTTAAGTTATTTTACTTCTGACATACTACAATGGGGCAGGGATGAAAGGGATAATCCCGTTGCATTGAAAACAAGTAAGGCATGCCTTACTTTTTTTCCTTCCACAACACGGTGGTGTGCATGGGCACCATCCGTGACAGAACAAAATTGCCTTGTCTTGCTTTGGGGCTGCGCTTGAAACAACGACAAGCACAGCTCCATTACAAATGGTGTGAATGGACCCTGACTCACTTTGATAAGTAAACCCCAGAGTGATTTAGAGATCTCCAGTTAATAGAAATCCCATTCCAGACCACATCCCAACTTCCAAAATGCTACATTTTATCACAATCACATTGTAATACCATAGAAAAGTGGCAAGTTTGTGGTCACATGCTGCTTCATATCCATGTTGCAGTTTATATGATGCTGAACAGGAGGCAGATTACTGTAGGACAGTAACACTGCTATGTAGTTTCCTAGACATCACTGCCGCAACTTGAGTTCTGTATAGCATTGTGCTACTAATTTGATGGTGTTGGTGGTTGTTTTGGCACCTTGAGATTTAGAATACTCCAGGCCACACCAGAATAGGAAGAGAGAATGAGTACAGGAATAGCAAACTCGCTACCCTTTCAGTCAGGCTGGGGGCAGATCTGTCAGAGGTTTCTGGTGAGTTGCTTCCAGCCCCAACAAAGGGAGTCTGGCCCATCATTCATTGTGGCCATCAATGCTGTAAACATCACACACATAGATGAAATTGCTTGCTCATTATTCATTGGGATCAGCATTATAAATAGCTGTGAAGGAGGTGAAAGGGCATCTTAATACTATTACATCTTGGTAAGTAAAATGGCACACATTAGGACAACGGAGGCAGCAATGTTATAAAACAGGATTTTAATGTTTGCCTGGATGTTTTTAAAACTCAAGCTTATGAATATGACCTCTTTATAAAATGCTTTAAAGGTCTCGCTTATTTGTCTGTATGCATATTAAAGAGACAATTTTAAATGTTCTTGGGGCATGTTCATAATGTGTTTGAAAAGTGGTGTGGATAGGTTTAAAGTCAGACATTTCTGTTTTTGTTCTAGAATTTCTGGCAAGTCCTCCAACAAATCTAGAGGTTGGAGACATGGAGGACCTATTTAGTTTAGCTCAGCATTACCACAATAAAACTCCTGTGTCTTTCCGTAAGGTAAGTAAGCCTGTAAATTACTTTTTCTTGTATAAAGGAAGGTTTTCTCAATGCCTTCCAGGACAGTCTTTTTCTTGCCATCCCTCTTGACTCTGCTGACTCCAATGCAGAGTACTTTATTCTCCTTCAAACAGTCCCTAACACTGTACACTGGAAGGGGTGTGGGCAACTTGTTTATATCTATGCCACTGAGTGCTGCATGCAAGTTATCAAGTTAGTTAAAGGAGAACTATGAGGTGAGTGCTTTTCACTCACCTCCTAGTTCTAGCCGACCTGTGACAATGAAACTGTCACATGTCGGCTCAGTAGATCGGGAAGTGAGCGAACGCATACGGGCGTTCGCTCACCTCTCGATCCTGTCACGGCTCTCTGGCCTGACAGTGGAGGGGCTGGATTCTCTTCTCCCCGCTCCGATCCTCCAGCGCTGACGGACGGGGGAGGGGGCGGCTACACCTTGCTCTGCCTCTAGATAGGCAGAGCCAGGTGTCACTTACGCAGCTGGACAGATCCAGACATAATTGTCGGGATGCGCTTCAGCTGAGGCGTCTCCGTATACCTTGAGCTGTAGCTCGCGGTATACTGAGCTTAGGGTGACGGGAGGACGCTAGTTTGTGTCCTCCCGTTACCCTAAGGAGAACTATGGGGAAAAGCCCTAACCCCATAGTTCTCATTTTAATCAAGGTGAGAAACGTATCCCCTCAGCCATAAGAGGGTGCCATGCAAAATAAGATTTTTACCCTCATAATAAAAATCCTGGATTTGTTTACAGCAGTCATTTACAAAGCTTCAAGCATCTGTCTGGGAGTGTTGAAGTGCGGATCTTTGGGAGCTTTCTTGCTTTCAACTTTAAACAAGTTGTTAGCAGCCTTCAGCTGGCTTTAAGAAAGTTTAATGCTGCTTGAAAATAACTGAAGGTCTGCTACCAGAGCCTGCTAAAGGACCTCCAGCATTCCCAGAGCATAGCTGATTGGAGCTTTTAAGAACTTCATGAAAGCCGATTGAAGCTTGTATACTGCAACTATTTACAAAGCATTTCACATTGCTCTCCAGGCTTATGTTTGCAAGCTGTAGTCTGTGAGAAGTAGGCCTTACTATGTTAATGCATTTATTTCTACATAGTTGGATGTTTTTCCGTTCTAGGATAACCAGAGCCTGTTTGGGAGAAGCCTGATCGCTCTGAAAGATGACACTGATCTTAGCCAGGCTCTTTGCCTGGCTGTTTCTGTATCAGAAATTCTTCAAGCAAATCAGCAAGAGGTTAGTACGTGCTGGTGTTATATGGTAGCTATCACTGGTGCCCTTTCCCTTATCAATGCAAGGGTAACTCATGCAGCTATTATTATATGAATTTGCATGGTGCTAGTTTTGGACTTAAAAAAAATTCTGTAGAGTCTATGATCTTTTTTTAAGCATAAAATTATTATATTAAATATGTGAAAACACATACAGAGATAATCACTTTCCAAAAAAGGCAACAATCCCTGAAGGTATAGAGAAAGCGGTGGTGCACAGTGTAATTGCTACAACTCAAGTACATTAATCTGATGCAAAAAAAAAAAAAATCCAAACCCCATAAAGCACCGGATGTAATATTTAGGGTCGTATAGGACACAAGAGTTTGGAGGAGATACCAGTATTTGTCGCAGCAGTGTAGTGGAAAATGAAGTGTAATGCCCTCAGTCCTGCGACGGCAACACTCAACACACATCCAGGAGACATGGACAAGTCTGAAAAAGCAAGAAAAACAATCCATGAAGGTAAAGAATTGGAAGAAAAAATAGCAACGAAAAGGGGGAAGGAAGAGGGGGTGGGGGTCCTACCAGGCCCCAGTCTAGATTTAAATAGAAAATCTCAAATCCAATCCAAGGTCAGGGACAGATAGCCATTGGAAACTGGTAGAGCCAGATGAATCAATCCAAGCACCCCATGTAGCAACAAACAGAGGGCATGTATCCAATAACAGGCCCGTAACTTCCCCCATGCGCATAATTACATCAACTTCCTTGACCCAGTCATTTGGGTAGTAGGTGACTTCCAATGTCGGGATCAGAGCCCTGCCTGGCAAAAGAAGAAAGCGAAACAGGCACTCAATGTATCCGTAATTGGTATCTGTGAGAAAGTTTTGGTCTGGAAAAAAATGGCATTGGTGAATCCCTAATACATATATACAACAAATCCCAGGAGCCCTGTAGCCAATGCTCTTGAAGAACGACAGCTGCCTCCTAACCTTTCAGTTTTTCTCTAGTCTAGTAGCTGGAAACGTATCTGTGCTTGTTTCAAGTACGGTACTTGGTATCTCTGCACCCCTAGTATGCACCCATTTCTACATATCCTGAAAGAGAAAACATGCAAGTGAAGGAGATAATACATTAAGTGGGGAGTACTTGAGTCGGTCAGTTTTGTGTGGGCTTGGGCGAGCTCCTTCGCTAAGCCCATGCACATCACTATTGCACATCAACGGATTGAGGGTCACACTGCTGTGGCGTGGAGTAAGGCTTTGTGTTGCTGTATGACTGCTTAGAGTCAGAATTATTTTGTTTTGTAATGATTTGAATTACTTGGTTCATTTAGGATGGAGTACGGTTCTTTGTGGTGGATTGCCGACCAGCAGAACAGTACAATTCTGGTCACCTGTCTACTGCATTTCACTTGGACTCAGATCTGGTAAGTCATAACACCAATTGTCATTTCTAATGTTTGTATTGTGAAAAAGATCTATATATGTGCTGATTGCCATCAGTTTTTTTTTTTTGTTTTTTTTTTTTAAATACTGGAGTTCAGCTTTTTGGTCTTATGTACAGCATGCATGTTTTAGGTGCAGTCATCTTGCATTTGAGATGCTTGAGTTTGTTCACAGGTAAATTTGTTTGTAGCTGACCTCCTTTCTAAGCTAGACCAAGCTGATTCAAACTGCTTTTGCATTCTTATTGGCTTGTATGGAGAAAAAGCAGTTTTGATGCAAACAAAAGTATGTGTACACAGGCCTCAAAAGAATATTCATTTTGTTTTCTTCTTTATAGATGACAATACAGATATGTTGATGCGGTCCTGGGTATCTGACAGCTGCTGTTTTTTTTGCAGATGTTGCAAAACCCCGGAGAGTTTGCCCTGTCAGTGAAGTCTCTTCTGGAAGCTCAGAAGCAATCCCTCGAGTCTGGCTCAGTAGCTGCAGGAGAACACCTGTGCTTTATGGGCAGTGGAAGGGAAGAGGAGGACATGTATATGAATATGGTGCTTGCTCACTTCTTACAGGTAGGAGTTCTTCACCTTCTTGGGACAATCTGGAGATAGGGTACCGCATCATATGTTGGGGTTCATATACAATGATAGTCATGCTGTATATTTTCACTCTACCCAGAAACTACAAAAGGAGTTGAATTGCCCTACAAGTCAGGAGGGCCCCAGAGTAAAATGTTACTCCTTGCTCAACCCTTTTTCTTCCCCTTTCTAACTTACTGTGGATTTGTGTTATTCAACATTCCATATTGGTAGGTTTCTCTCATGATATGGAACAGCCATCAAATATAACATATAACCCCCCCCAGACCCTTCACATGCGCAAGTAGCTGGTGGACTGCCTGCAGGTAGCACGTCCACCACTGACCACTTAAGAAGCCATTTCCTGCATTTATGATATTTTTCAGAAGGGTAAAGGGGGTGGAAGGGATATTATTTTATAATTTCACTTTATGGAAGAAACCTAGCAAGTGTGGAGTTTGGAACACCCTACGTTATCAATCTGAAGAGTGAAAAACAAATCTCCTTAGTTGAACATTTTATGGTTTTTTTTTCCTTTTTCTCTAATTTTCATTGATGTTAATGTTGTGATATATGTTTTCTTTGCAGAAAAACAAGGAATATGTTAGTATAGCCAAAGGAGGCTTTATGGGTGAGTTTCCATTTCTCCCAGTCCCACAACCCCTCCCAAAGATAAACAAATACTGTAGCACAGACTGTATCTTGCCCTGTTATACTGAGATTATAATTTACTGTACAATATTCTGCTTTTATCATTTCTAACATGCACCATTTAAGATGTAATTAAATGTACAATGTATTCTGACTGTATATGCATAGCAAAAAACGTTTATTTATTTTTTAAGTTAAAAACCTGTCACTTTATTTTCGCTTTTGGCGAAATTCCCTTTTTTAGACAATTGTCACCAGGACAGGTGTCCTCATTGGGTTATTGCCCCTCCCTTTTTGTTCTGGAGACATACGGTGACTGTCACCAGTATAGACACAGACCGTAATCGAACGCTTGAGTAGGGAATAAGTGTGCAAGGAGGAAAGCACCAAAAGCAGAAAAGTCCAGATAAAGTTCTATTAAGACGTCAATGTGTTTCAGAGGTTTCCAAGACCCCCCCCCCGCCTTTTATCAGGACTTTCTACTGTTAGAGTGTGTACTGGACTAATAAAACTGGAGGTAATTATTATGACCCCTGAAACAACACGTTGCCTTTTTATATGATATGAGTTTGCATAAAACCTGGACTTTGTTCCCCATTTGCTCTTTCCTCCTTGGACACCCAGCCCTTACTTGACCAAGGATCTGACCTTTGACCACCACTCTAGGGGAGCTGCCTAGGGGTAATCATTCCTTCTACTCTGCTTAAGACCTGACTACCGGAACTGGATCTCTCAAAACTACTGTTTTGAGAGATCCAGGCCCCTTGCCTTTTTTTCTATTTCCAGCAATTGAAACCGGACTTTAGTTCTAGCCCTTCCCCAAAACTAATAAGGAAAAAATCATGCTATACAGTAGCAGGATTCAAGAAAGACTGCAGGGGGGGGGAGT